CACAACCTGAAATGACTCTGCTGTACCGGATGATGCAACTCTCGCTAGTCCAGCCATTGTCTTGTAACAAAGTTCCAAGTGACTTGAATGCAGCCATCTCTATGTGAAGCCCCCTAAACATTATAACGAACTTGTCCTCTCCATAGTCAGGCCACTGCCGCTGGATTTGCTTAGCCAAAAAAATATATGGCTGATCAGCAGCGACGACAGGGATTTGTCCTTGGTTAATGAAATCCACTGTTTCTCCAGGGCATGTATGATGGTTGCAACAGACTGAGCCTGGTCACGGGTCAAATGCAGCTGTGAGGCGATGCCCACTTCAAATGACTTGTTGTATATAAAATGCTTCTCATTGCAGGGGAATTGGGATTCTTAGAAATAACTGCTAGCCATACATTGATGAATTAATCAGGAAGATCTGGAACCTTCTTTATCCTAACATTGGCACTGATTTTTAGTGGGTTACGTTCCTCACCATGGTGTTCAGAGGTTGAGTGCTGAAAGATGGACATGCTGGTACCATGGAACGAAGATTTAGCAGTAGTTGCAGTTGGGTTGTGATCAATGTTGTCTACAGCTGCAGTTGTGAAAACATATCTCCTCAAGACAGTTGGGCAGACCACTCCGTCTTCCATATACTGGGCCACAACTGTCTTTCCCAACTAGGCTGATATTTCGAGGACCCTATCATAAGGTATACTGACCACATTCTCATGAAGTATCTCTATGATTCGCCTCTTTCTCGTCTTGGCAAACACGGACATGCCAACATAGAAAGCAAAAGGTGTCTCCTGGTCCTTGAAATGGATGTGAATCTGTATGCCTTTCTGTGACTTTGCAACAAATGTACATTGCAATGTCTGACATGCTGCAGTTGTGACTCAATGTCAACTCCATGCTCGATCATATCGAGCATAGGTCACTAAGTCTGAAAATGAGTGGGTCTAACATCTCATTAGCAGTTTTCATCTCATTGATGTAAGTCACAGTTCCGAAAACGCCATTGGGTAGGCTTCATTTTCTTGCAACTCTTCCGCTTTCCTCTGTTTTTTTGCATTCAGATAGGCTCTTTCTCTATTGTATAGAGCTGTCAAACATGTAGGGTGATACTTCAGCTCTTGAGCAATGACATCTCCAGCACTCAGTTTTGCAAGGAGCTTCCCATAATTGATTGTCTTTGCACATTCATTAGTTCTTCTGTTCATTTTCATAGTCATAGTTTGACTGAGGCTGTCCCCGTCCTCTTCACACAAAAACACTCTGCCTTCTTTGAGACTGAAATTCTCCGTTGGATTTTACTGCTACTGCTGGTCTGCAGTCTGTCAGCTGCTGGGCCCGATCGTTTCTCAGCTTCTTGTAACTTTGTGTTGTTGAATAGTAGCCTACAACTCTCATGATTCCGAGCAGCATTTTTCTCAAAGTTTCGGATATCCCACTGCCATCATCAAGTCTTGCTGGATCAAGCTTGATTGGTAACTCGTTGAGTTGCAGAAATCTAGGAATATTCCTACCCATAGGCTATAGCCATCGTCTACCCTTTTGGTAGGATTTGCACGTGGAGAGGTAAGTACTTCTTTCTTGTTAGTTTGACAAAGACAACACTTGTTCCAGTCAGTGTGCCAAGGTTTTGTCTTTGAATCCAATGTATTGTTCAGGGCCAAGGGTTTATCCTTTCACCACCCTGTTTGATGGACACTTTCCTGTATGGGATACAACTATGTTCATGCATTTTGCCCTACACTTAGTCCGATCGTTCATCCTACGTAAATTAGTTCCCGTATCATCTTTCCCATGCTGGCACATCCTGTCTATTCAGGTGCCGTTGCTTAAGTGACTGGCGTTACATTTGGAACACTAAGTATGAAATGAATTCTTCCAAGCTTACGTTGAACCCCATGCTGGGTTAAACAGCAGTAATTGTAACCAGTGTGCCGTGGTAGTGCCTAACAATCACTCCTAAGAAAACAAAGCCTAAAGATCCACTCTCCAAGTAAATGTAAAATTTTGAGTGTGTTGTTCACTGTCTCCAATTGCCAGTCAGGTACTGTATCATTCAGCTAATCCATTTGCACAAAGGTATGGCTCGTGATCTTCATGCACATTAAAATTTTGAGCTCTGTTTGCTACCCTCACCTTGTGGGCGTGGCCATTGCTGTTTAATAGAAACTTTTTGGAACTATGATGTTGAGAGTTCAACTAGCAATGAAAATCCGAGCCAATAGTCTACCAAGATGACATGGCTGGCTGCTGAAACAAGGGTACCTCTATCAATAAAACCATACACAAGCAGAAAATATGGAACCTGAAAATTGACACAATAACCCGGAAAAGACTCGTCAATTCACCAAAAAAATTGACACTTGATAGTGCTAAAAGTAAAAAAAATAGATTTGGCATACCAGGAAACATAGAAATTGAGAGAAATCACTCAAATCGACCAAGTACATGCATTTCTATGAGAAAAAAACATTTCCAGGCTTATT